AGTGAGGCTGAACTGGCAGCTGAGGCAAAGATTTGTCAAGCTGAAGCCCTGGTTCTTGCTTCAGAACAGTAATGCAGTTGTTTGGCAGCCTATGAGATGGCCCTCAGGCAGTTGAAAACTCCTCACCACTTCCCTACATATCAAGTACAGGCCAGATATAAGACATGTACTGAATGTGTTTTAATGACTACTACTCCCCATATGGCTTGGACTGTTTAGTAGAGACTCAGGTGTGAACCCAGGTATTGGATCTGACTTAAAAGAGCTGCTTCAGCTCAAGAGTGGGTTTGCAAGAGCCATCAGCTTCACAGCATTGCTTTTGATGTTACTGATGCCAAAAATTATTAAGTGCCTAAATAGCACTGTGATGTGGAAAAATAATGAAACTTAGGATATTTAGAGCCATGCAACCTCTGTCCCAAAGGCATGCAAGTGAGGCACAGAAACAACATTTCTCTCCCTTCTGTACCATGGCCAATGCAATTAAATTAATTATGTATCGTTTTCATCATGTTTTCCTATCAGTCTTTTTATTTCTTTTTCCCCAAAGTTACAATGCCTGTGACTTTCCTCTTGTGTAGGGAAGCTACTGAATTTGTGACAGAAAGCAGTTCTCTTTCAGGCACTTGGTAACTTTTCAGACAATAAAATATTTGAGCTTCAGAGTACAGGGAAGAGCTCTGAGGTAAAAGTGAAAAAAAATATTCTCAGAATCCTTTATGTTATTATAAGGAAAAAAAGTTTATAATAACTAAAACATGCTGTTATTTCCGGATTTATATAAAACACACTTAAAAATTATCATTGGTAAGATGACCAGTTTAATAAACAGCATTTTCTCACAAAAAAGTTGTGTTTTTTTTTTCATTTGGTGTTTTTTGGTTTTTTTGCACCCCCTATTTGCTGAAGAGAAGTAAGCAGAGAGCTGGTAGGGAAATATTCTGCCATCCCCTCTCCTCCCTTCTGCAGCAGAACAAATTTGCCATCCAAACCGCACAGCACCCTTAATGTGAAGAGAGTGGGTGCAAAGGCAAGCGCAGGACAGATGAAGTTAATCGGTACTGTAGAGGTGTTCCTGAGTGAGAGTTTGCCAGTGACTCCCTCAGTTGGCTTGGTTATCTGGCAGGGGTTTCTTGATGAGTTAAACTTTGCTGGGTTCAAGGGAGTGCGAGATAACAGTTGCTAACCTCTCACACATGGTCATCCATGCAAGAAGACAGTTGGAACTTTGAATTTGGGTAAGAAATTGCATAGCTGGGGAATGCTAGGGGAGGAATGGTGAACCTCAAGAGGGAGGGGCTGTGCTGGAAGGCTGTAGCGGGAAGGAGGGACATTGTGTCAGCATGACTGCTGCCTGTGGCCCCACACGCACAATGTGCGTGATCACAGCAGACTATAGAGAGTGCTGGTAGCAAAGGTGCCAGCTGGGTCATTTTAGGCTTGGTGGCAGCATTAGGAAGGCAGCTGTGAACACCTGTTTGTTTCAAAGAGGGAGTTGGTCTTCTCTACTGTCTAGGCTCATCTGTACTTGCAATCCCAATGCTAGTATGAGCCTTGGCCTACACTTGATGGGGCCATGCAATGTCTGTGAGGGAACTGGACCAGGAGGAGTGGGTGGAGAAGCAGCGCCAGCCTCCATGAGGGCTCTTCCTTGCAGCAGAAGCCCTTATGCTACAAGGCTGGTATGCTGAGCTTCATCCCCAGCTATGTTTTCCAGACGGCTTCAGCAGGGCCTGTCCCTGGTGGTGGTCTGAGAGGTTTGGGAGCTGTATTGCTCTCCTCCCCTGCCAGGCCTACCACGCAGCAGAAGCAGGGCTGGGGCAGGCCGGGCCTCCTCCAGGCCCTCAGGCTGGCGGGGCAGCGCAGGCCCCGGGGTCCCCATGGCAATACGTGCCCTCTTCCCCCCGGGACGGGGAGGTGTCGCCCCCGCCACCAGCAGGCTGACTCCCGCACTGCCACGCGGGTAGAAGG